ATTTTGTAATATTGCATTTATGTGTATGTACTTTATGTTATTATTGCACCGTGAAGGCGCAACCTAAAATCATGCCAAAACTTGTAATAGACCTGCCGGTGCACCGTGTCCATTTCACGCATTCCCTTTCCAAACCATGAAAAAGACACACATGCAGAAGTTGCAGTAAGTTGCACGCTGTAGTAACCGCAGAGTGAGATATTTTATTTCAAGCTAACATGACAATAATCAAGTGAAAATGTTCAAATGGACATTATTAACACATTTACATCTATATACATAGATGCCACCTAGCTGAAATGTACTCTATGTTTTTTTGTTCAATCCTGACTTCTTGGCTTAATATGTTATCTCCCCCTGCTGGTAATGCAACTTCTACATGTGTGTACATTTCACATTTTGGAGAGGCAAAGCATGAAACAACTACTAACTAGTAGTGAATGTTTGCAGAGCATTTTACTTCACTGCAATGTTACTGTTATGGTATCTTACCTGTGTCTGCAGTTTTCTTCTGAATGCCAAAGGCCACAGGACCTCTGATAGTAAATCCAAGGTAGAAGGTAACTTGACGTTTTTTCCAAAGGCTGTTTTGCAGATTGGCATTGATTTTAGTCTCTTTACCACCAACTCTTGTATACACTTTGTAGTCTCTTACTACTCCATCAAGTCTAAGAAGGAGCTCTTGGACATCAGGACTTCTGAAGATTTCTTCTTTCTTCCAGTTATTGCTCCAATCTGGTTTTGCTTTCAGATGTTTTTCAATAATTGTTCTGTGAACAATTCTTTTCACACCTTCACCTTTTCCAATGAAAAACACAGGAAGAAGATACCTGGCACGAAAATACTTCTTATATGCATTTTGGTAAGTGTTCTGCATTTGCTGAATTATTTGACTGATGTCATAAACACACTGGCCTGGATTTTCAGGCCAGTACAAGAGAAGGGTGAACATGTGCAGCTCAGGTGGGTCTGTGTCACTTGGGGGCATTTTCCGTCTAAATGGTGTGAGGATGTTGTTGACGAGAGACATTTCTGAATCTGCACTTGGACACATTTCTCTACACTGTGTAGATATGTCTTTGAGCTCTGATTGAGTGTATTGTTTGACAAGAAATGACAGTACTTCCACAGACTGTTCATCTTGGTTTCCCTCCTGAAACATCTGGATGAGTTGCTTTGCAGTTGTGTCTCCAACATACTTCTGGTAGCACTCTGAGATGTCTTTAGATATATATTCAGGATCATCTTTCACCGTGTTAGGCTTTGAGTAAGTCAGATATTGTTCCAAAAACATGCATTTTCTCTCAACTTTATCTCTGAGGCTTTCTAGTAGTTCAATGAATCCGAGGAGTTTGTAGCCTCTAAGTGATTTCAGGAAAGAGGTCGCCGATACTTTTTTTGTGAGAACCTTTTCCCAGGTTTCAGTTTGACTAACAAGTTTGTCATATAGAGTATTGCAGACCTGCAGGTAACCAAAAAGCCCTCTTGAATTAAAAAGTCTTGAAACATTCCTCTTGCCATGTTCTTTCATGTCTGGTCCATCTTCATCCTCAGCAAATCTTTCTTCATCTTCAAAAGCTTTAATTGCTTTTTGAGCGATTTGCAAAATTTCTCCTGGTTCAGCAGAAACCTTTTGCTTCATTAGGCGGTTTTTATGGACTTGGCCAAGTGTGTCAGCAACAAATGAATTTTGAGGATCTCTTTTTAGTGCTTCGACTGCCCACATTTCTGCCTGATTGTAGTCTTTTAGTTCTATATAATAAAAACGAGCAAGAGCTTGTGGAAAAAATGGATTTTGAAAGATTTTACATGAGGCCTCCTCTAAAACTGTTGCACACTGACATTTCCCCTCCATCGTTTGAATGTCTAGAATTAGTCTAGAAAACTTTTCCTGTTTCATTTCTGTGCTGTTGACTTTTTTCATTTCTCTTTTGGTTAACATGTCTTTGACA